TTCCTTGAAGTAATCTATAGCTAGTCATATTTTTCCAAAGAATTTATAGCTGTTTGTATTGCTGGTATCTTTTTTAAAGTATTGCTGATAATAATTTTTCCTTCAAAAATTATTGCTGGTAATAATTTTTTTTTTTTTTTTTTTCTTACAAAAGTTTGAGTGTTAACTATTTGCCCATAGCTGGGACCCTAACAGGTGCTACCAGCCCGGGTCAGGGTGGACCTAGGAACACCAGCAATTAAGAGGTGGTTTCACGCTCCTCAAAATCTGATCAGAGGCCTTGCTGTTGGATGTAGTTTATAGTCATACCCAGGACGTGGATGTAGTTTATACCCAGGACGGTCTATTCAATATGGAATGCAAACAAGATAAATGAAAACAATAAAGAACTAAGTTGAGCAATTTGCTTAGTATTGTTTTTTGACCTGCAATGATAGCATAAAAAAAAAATGAAAATTAGTTGTGTACAAAGATAATATAACGAAAAAGAAAAAAGAAACTTTGATTAGCAATTTTCTTTTTCATGATGGCAGAAAGTGAAATGTCAAAGCAGAATTTTCTGATCTCACAACAAGGCACCAAAATATTACTGAAAAATTCAAGTATCATCTAAAGGGGGGGGTTTAGACACGAGAGAAAAAAAAAAAAAAAAAACACTAATTTAAAGAGAAAGTTATTTGAATGTCAATTTGTGGAAGACCTGAAATAAGCTGTGAACTTTATCAACTTGGTTTTCTTCAGACTTGTAAGAATTTAATTAAAAGTTCAAGGAGAGATGAGCAAGACTCTCCCCCCACCCCCCACCCATACGAGTACTTCCTTTGATTTCTCACCCATGATTTGCTGGAGTGCATGTGTGTGCGCGCACACACACACCTGACCGAGTAACCAGATGTCTTTTTTTTTTAATGCTGTGATCAGTCATCCTTTCAAAATTGGTAATCTTTTTCTAATTTACACATACTCGCTGTTTTTATTTATTTCCCACCCCCTTTGTACATTTTGCCATTATTATTATTATTATTATTTCTTCTCCTCCTTGTTGTTCACTATTAAACACATCCCAACTCCGACATATTGCAACATTCTTTTTCATGATGGCAGAAAGTCAAATATCAAAGTAGAATTTTATGATTTCACAAGATTGGCACCAGAATGTTACTGAACACTACTTTGAGTTAAATCTTGAGAAAGTCATTTGATTGTCAATTTGTGAAAGAACTGAAAGATGCTGTTAGCTTTATCAATTTGGTTTAGTTTATTTTGTTTAACAGTATAATCAACCTCAATGGGTTATTTAATGCTGACAAAATTTTTTATTGCTGGTAATATTTTGTTAGGTACCTCCACGAGATCGCTAAAAAAAGAGCATAGCATGATGAAAAAAAGACGTAAACTTGACGAAAACAAAAATTTTATCGTCTAAATGTTTGTTATTATTAAGAGGAAAGGTCAAAAGTATTTTTGGGTATTTTTTTTCCATTTTTAATCGTTCTAGCACGTCCGAAATTTTCATTAAAAATGTAGTTTTTTGAGTCAGCAAAATTGACCATTTTTTCCATTTAAAAAAAAAACTGAAATCTGACTTTGAAATTTTTTAAATATCAATTATCATTTTTTCAAAACTTATTTTTAAGAAAATCAGAAATTATAATGTTTATTTAAAATATTTTGAACCAAACTTAACTTAGCTTTTGTGCCAAAAAGATGTAATTTGAAAATAAAACAAAACAGGTCATAAACTTTCGCGTCTCGACATGTGATGAATGATATATTTACGAATTCCATGAGGCTAATTTGTTCTACGGAAGGAGAAAAGTGAAATAATTTACATTTACGTGAACAAATTATTTACCCCTGTTATTTTTAACGAAAACTTTCAGCGGTCTAATTTTTTTTTTTTTTTACTTTGCTTTCACCTTTACGTTTATGATGCTTTATGGGAAATATATTGTAAAGAAATTAAAATAAAACTGTTAAGAGTGACATTAAATTTCATATTTCTTAAGAAAGGTATCTAATTAATTTATAGGTACCTCTATGAGATTTTATCAGAATTGTACATAAAATACTATAATTGTATGTACTTTTATTACATTCTACTGTTATTTGTATTTGCATTCATTTTATTATTAATTTTGATATTTCATTTATGGAAAAATGTCGTAACTGAGATTAATATAAAAATAAGATCATATAAATTTCATAAGATGATACTGATACTTGGAGGTACCCTTCTCAGTTGAAATTGAAAAATCAAATTAACTTCTCCACACGTGTTTCGCAAAAAAGTAAAGCCCTTAACAGCGGAGAACAATGCTTAACTCAAATAACGCAACTTAATTATATTCTGGTTGGTCTTCCGTATTTTATAATTACAGCTCAATTATAAGCACAAAATTACATTTCTTAATTACTGGGGATCTTCTGATTAGTCAAAATGATACAATTTACAACGCTACTAAAAAAAGATCTATCTCATAAGGACACTTATGAAAGCTGATCTTGACTTTTAACTAATTTTATAATATTTTAACAACTTAAATGTAAAATCTATTATAATTAATGAAATAACAAATAATTGTATGAAAAATTCATTTTCATCGAAAAAATTTTTTTGCTTTCAGAAAATATTGTCCATATTCATAAAAAACAATGAAAAGCAAATAAAAGCATTTGAAATTAAATAATATCTTTGTTTTATTGAGTTTTGTATGTTACAATTCAGAGCTGATTTTCAGGTACTGCGATCCAATTAAAAACAAAAAAAACATGATTTGCATTCCTCAAAGCCCTGTGCTTTTAATTATTGTAATCACTAAAACCTATGCGATCAATTTCTAGCGTTTTCATAAAATTAGTTGGGGGTAATAAATATTTTTAAAAATATTTCTACCATGACTTTCATAAAAAACATATTTGTAATAATTTCGATCATCTGTGAATAGTTCCTGAAAGTTTCATTAACATCCGATAATTATTTCTATTTTTGCACGATTTTCAAATTAATGTGTGTCATACCAAAAACGTGCTAAAATTGTCTATGTTATTTACTAGTTCCGCTGATACAAATAGAAAAAAGGTTTTTTAATCAAAATTTAGAATGTTCTAAAAGGAAAATTTTTTTAAAAATAATTAAAAAAAACTTTGGTCTTTCCTCTTAATAATAACAAGCATTTAGACAATAAAATTTAGTTTTCGGCAAGGTTGGCGTCTTTTTCATCAAGTTATGCTCTTTTTTTAGCGATTTCGTGGAGGTACCTATATTTTGTTTTGTCAAAAATCCTTTTCTGGTAATATATTTCCTTCAAAATTGTATTGCTGGTAATAATTTTTTTCAAAAAAGTATTGCTGGTAATAGTTAACTATTTGCCCATAGCTGGGACCCTAACAGGTGCTACCACCCCAGGTCAGGGTGGACCTGGAAAACCAGCAATTAAGAGGTGGTTCCACGCTCCTCAAAACCTTCTGATCAGAGGCCTTGCTCCTGGAAATAGTTTAACGTCTTACCCAGGACGACAATTTGGTTTTCTTCAAACTTGTAAGCATCTAATTAAAAGTTTGAGAACAGATGAGTAAGACTGAAGATCAATGTGTATAAAAGCAACAACACTAAAGATTAATGGCTCTTATGAAACAGAGTCACTTCCAAATGCAACAAAATAAAGAGACAAGATTTCTCTTCCTTTCCAGATGGAAAATATGTGTTTAATGAACTTAGCCCACTAAACTTATGACAGATATAAAATAGAATGCTTAGAAACTTTTTCCAAAAGAGAAGAAGATCTTGCTATTTATCCATATTTAGTTTAGTATGACAAAGACAAATACAGAGGAAATTTTAAGGAAAATGGAAACAAAAAGGACAATTATACAAAAATGAAGTTTCTGAGATAAAGGCCTGGAAAATTCGACACTCATAGTACAATACTGAAGGCAAGAGAAACAGAGGAATGCATTGAATAACTGACCTAACAAACTTGTGTAAACTTGTAGATTGTTTTTTTCTTCTTAAATACAGCTTATCAACCCTTTGTGGTTTGAGAGTCAAAACATTTTTAATTGTAAGAATCCCCCCCCCTAATGAATCTTGCTGGTGGAAGGGATAGTATAAGGATAAACATTGCTCAGAGTTACAAAAAGTAAGTAGTGGAGAGCCATGATTGCCCATATTCTGAGAGGTCATGGCACACAGAAGAAAAAGATGATTGATCACTTCAATTTGTGTATATTCTTGTTATGAAATTTTCTAGAAGGAATCCCCCCCACCAATTTCCATGAAAGAGGAAACTTCCAAAATAATGCAGAAATAAAATAATTTTTTTAGTCTTCACAGAAGATACAGATTTTATACTTTACAAACTTTATACTTTACAATATCAATCGCCCTAAAAGATAAATGGTGAAATTTAGAATTACAAGGCTTAAAATGTTTTTACTTTTTATAAAAAAAGAAAACGTCAAAGATTTTCCCATGTCCTTATTCCAAAATTATGGCATGAAACGTGTAACTCTGAACATTTCAAAATTGAAATTAAATTTGATGAATTTAGATCAAATAGAATCCGACTTTTCCAAAATTATAAAAATAGATTTTTTTTTAATAAAATTTCAATACAAAATCTGAGAAGTTTTGATGTACTTGTATAATTTGGAGTGTAAAAAAAAAAAAAAAAAATAAAATTATTCTTGTAAATAAACAATCTAATAGTGTTTGATATTTTTGCTGTAAATTCTCAAGAAAAAAAAAAATTCACTTTGATCATGTTTAGGTTTTATTACAATTCTAACATCACTTTTTTAAAACAATAAACCTTGTCAAGGAGTAAATGTAGTTAAAATAATAGCAATGTCAAGGGGGGGGGAAATCATTTTTTTTTTTTTTTTGTCAGGCATAAAGTTTAAAGCTTGCCAAATCTTGAATGTCAGAACAGCTTGAAATATCACAAAGTGACCCTCAAAATAAAGAATGTGAATAAATTTCAAAAATTATAACTCACCTGAAGAACTTGAATCTTGAGTTGTACTGTCAGCCTAAAACAAAGATAAACACTTGTTTTTAAATATTTAAATTATTTAATTTGCATTTTGTAATTACAAAATTCAAATTCTAAGTAATGGATACAATGAGTGAGCAAATATAATTTTTATCTATAAATGCAGATATAATGCTACAAAGCATATAATGCTACTAATACATAAACAGAGTTCAACGTTCAAGTGGGAACAAATATTTGAAGACAAGTTAATCAGAGAAGAGAAAAAGAAAAAAAAATGGATATTATGGTGATATCCCAACAAATGCAATTAATACCCAAACATACTCAAAGTGCAGATCTGTGAAATCCAGTGTCCCTGTAATGTACTGAAACAAATCAGTTGCAGAAAAAAGGAATGGGAATTCGTGCTGTAATCAACAAAACTGCAATAAAGCACACATGCCATCTATATTAAAGTCTGTGCTTCAACAAATTCTATCAATTTTGATGCTCTGTTTAAAAATCTAGAGCCAAGAATGGTTACAAATGAGTGCAAAATATTAATATTAATTGCGTCTCTTTAATAGGATGTAAAACAAGATAGCAAGCAAACTAGAAAGAAAAACAGTAGAGAAAAACTGAAGACAAAGAATGAAAAAAAAAAAATGTTTGAGATATGCGACTTACAATATAAATAGTTGGTATAAAGAATATTTAATACATGAAACTTATGCACAAAACTTACTTTTTTATAGACATTTATTCATATGCTTAGTTAAAAAAAGCAAAAAAGAGAGCAAAAACGTTCCTATAATTAAAGAAGATTTTTTCCTCTTTAAAAAAAATTTAAAGAACAAAATAATAATGGAATGAAGACCGAATTTAAGAAAAAAAAAAAATTGCTACATGGTTTATTATTCAAAGATGAATGTAAACCAAATCCACAGAATTTGTTGACTGAATTGTAGAGTATAGGTCACTCTAAAATAAAGGAATCTGGAGTCACCAGGCAAAAAAGATGTCTACAAGTATATTTGCAACATCCTTTGGCACATGTAATACAAAGATACACTCAAATCTAAAAAAAAAAAAAAAAAAAAAAAAGGGTAATGAAAAGAACTAAAAATGTCATAAAAAAAATAAAATGAAATAAAAACAAACCCGGATGCAGTTGCCATCAGAGATAAAAGAAAACAAGTTGATTACAACTAAAAACAAAAGAAATATGAAAGCTATTTTAATTTCCTCATGAAGTTTTATGAAAGCCATTTTGAGGAGAGAAAAATCTGTTTAAACTTCCTGTCTGTATGAGCTTAAGCTTTTGTTTCCACAGCAACTAGATTGTATCAAAGGCCAGTTTACTAATTATATTTTTGGGAGAAACGGACAGTTTAAATTCTATCAACAACTTGATATGACCTCCACAAAAACCTTACAACTGATCTTCCTCATATTTAATGTGCCACGTGAAATTTGTCTTCTCATCTCCTGCTTTGATCCTAAACACCAAATGACAATTAGGAACTGTGATTAGATTCACCATATTATTAATTTGTGATAATGTGGAATAACAAAATATAGGGAGTCTTTGAGTTAGATCAGAGTTCTGTTTCTACAGTGCAACCTAACCTGATTTTCGATGTAGGTTGGAACTCACATCAGCACTCTCATATGTCTGCCTCATGCTTGGGAGCTATAATGAAGGGTAACCCCCCCAAGGAAAAAAAACCCCCCCCAAGGAAAAAAAAAAAACACAAATGAGAGCAAACGTAGTACAATCCAATATGGCATACAGCTGGTGAAGAAACAATGTCATCTCCCTTGTATACCGCTGTGTGATGATGCATTATATTATGGAAGATGGCGCCATAACCACAAAACACTGTACGCTAGATCTAACATAACCCAAGGACCTTCTGTATAGAATAAATATTTTTTTTAGAATTTTTTGTTAATGGAGAGTTAAAGCAGTGGTCTTGCCTGAATTCTGACATGAAGTGTTATCATTATTTACATTTGGACTAATGTGCTCATCTTTTTTGTTGTTATCAGTGAATTTGGTGACAGTAATTGTGTTCAATCCCTGAGCTGGGTAGTACAAATTTAGACTCGGTGGAAACAGGGCAAATAGTACTCAACAAGATATCCCTAAACATAGATAGTGAGTATAATTCAATAAATAAAGGGTACAATCCAAAATTCCCTGGAAGTTGCTCACAAGAAGACTAGAAGACACAACAGCCAAAATGGGATAATAATAATAACAAAGATGAGGAGATTAACCCAAATGTAAATAAAGTAAATAATAAAACAGAATTCTTTTAAATCAAAAGTAAAGAAAAATATGATAAGGTCAACTATTTTGCTGGGTGGAGAAATATTTTAAAAATCTGTTATATTTCAGCTATAAAAATCAATCTGTGTCTATTACCATACACATACATTTTTCAAATGCCACATACATTGGTTTGTATAGTCCTTATCTTAGAATAAGTATTCACAAACAATATAAGGAGTGGACTATAGTTGGGATCATCGAGTCAGTGAAAATATTCCTTGCCTTAGCTGCATAGTATGTGTTTACCAGAGCTACATACAGTTTTGAATTCAGATTTTTCTTTCTTCTAGACCAGTTGCCACGCAAGGCTAAAGAACCCAGTCTGTCCTGCTATTTAACCATAACCTGTTGGAGAGGGGGGGGGGGTAAACAAGATGAATTCATACCTTTCTCAGGGTATTTGCACATAAATCAATGTAATGAACTTTAATGTAATTCAAACTCAGCTCTTAGATTCCTTAATCCATTACTCTACTATGCTTCAAACAATATTAATAGAAACACCCAAGAAAATATCAAGGTTTTCATATTTGAATTTTCTGATAATCCATAATTCTTAAATTAATGATTGAATACACTCATAGTGAATTCTATGACAATAAGACATCCATAGAAATTCCCCTATTGCATCATTAAATATTTGAGCTTAACTTTAAAACATTGCAATAACAATCATAAATATGAATGCTCATTGTTATTTTAAGAAGTAAGAGGGTACAAATGAAGATTTGAAATTGACAACTTTTTCCATTTCACTCAAATATTCTATCTTCCCTTCTTTCTTTCATTTTCTCACTGAAACCAAATGTTTCTGATTTGTCTTCATTCTTACAATGCATCAGAACAGAGTAGTCCATTATTTTTGAGGTATTGGCAAGGGATATTAAGCACTTCTAGCTTCTCTTCTTTCATTTCTTTATTAAAACCAAGTAGTGGCTCTGATGTGTTTTCTGTCTTTTTACATGATCAAAACAGAGTAGTCCATTATTTATGAGGTAAAGAACAGGGTGTAATTAAAAGAGAAACTAGCAGAATCATAATATTAAGTTGTCCTCCATCTACACAATTTACTGGAGAGGGAGGAAGCCTTGAACACCTTTTATGTTGAGAATTGTGTTTTATTTTTACATACTAAGACTATTCATCAATGACAGGTGGGATATAAGAGAGTTAAGAAATAAACTATGGCTCATCATACTATGTACATTCTATTACTGGCATAATTTGATAGAAACAAAATGTTTAAAAAATAAATTATTTGCTATTTAAGTTGAACTTAAAATTTGTTCTGAGAAAATTCCAATGTAAAACACAAAGGAAAATTCATGCCTCATACAATGCGATCGATTCAAAATATAACACAAAAATGACCAATGCTATAAAATAAATGTAAGCTGTTACATTGTAAAGAAAATCCTGTAGTCTTGTTTTATTTTTGTTTAGACATAACACTTATTTAACTCTTTAAAAGGAGGAAGTGCCCAAATGCACCTGCAAGTTTCACATGCCTACAGTCTGGGAGTGTCTGAATACACCCACAATTGGCTAGCACTGTATTTCAATGCACTGCGTTAACACTAGTCACATGACCAACTAGGAACTGGAAATATACAATTTTCTAAAAAGTTAGATTTTCAGCACTTCAAGGGAATTAATAATCTATTGTAAATTCAATGAAGGTTGCAATCTCCTTCATTTTTGATAACACAATCCCATCAATCTAGCAAATTATAAATGCCCCAAACATGAAATTCTGGGAATTTTGAGACCAAAAAACAGGTCTTCTTTAAACTGTTCAGAATTGATGTAATATTTCCCAGGGAAAAGCTGAAAAGGTGATAATCTGACAGGGCAGGACCAGGAGAGTCAAGTGGAAGAGATGGAACTTACACATTTTCAGTCAAAATCTTTTCCATGGATGCATTTTGCAATGTGTGGTCCTGCATTGTTTTTATACAAGTAGAACGTCATTCCACCTGATTCTGAAAGAAAAGATTGTGTTCTTTGCCCTTCGACAAGATGCATTATCATTTTGAAAATTGCCTACATTCTTCCCAAACCTATTTCTGACAATTACATTTAACCACTGCCAATTACACTACACTTCCAAATTAAGTGCAACCATTTATACAACAAGGAGGGCTTGTAATAAAATTAAAACCCAAATATAAATTGATTCTTGTTTAATAAATACAGTACAACTCTCTAAACTGAACAGAGATGTTTAGTATTGAGGGTACTGTTCTGATTCTAGGAAGAAAAGTTGGCTGCAGCAAGCTTAAAATTTTTATTAAGTTTTAGAGTTTAGGATAGAAAAAGTAGTTTGTAACATTGATTCATTTTTATTTAAAGTGCAGATTGGATACTTAAATGTACAATAAAATAATTGACTACCAATAGTAATGAAACAATTTGTGCTAGATAAATATTGTAATAAACTAAGACACTTTATGAAATGTTTAAAAATTTATGAAATATCTTATTCGAAAACAATTACAATCTGTAAAGGAAGACAAAAATAAGGATATACAGTACAACTCCTCTAAACCGAACATCAGATATGTTTGGTATTGAGGGTACTGTTCTGAATTCAGGCAAGAAAAAGCTTCATATTTATGTCAATACAAAATTTCAGGTTTGAAGATGAACCCATATTGATAGAAGTCTAAATTATGCTAAGTGTCAGATTTGGGGAGCTCTACTGTATATAAAACAAATGTAACAGTTACAAAAAGTTACTGTTACTAAGACTAAAATAACTGTCTGCAAATCAATTCCCTCAATAAATAATTACTTCGTAGGTACCTTAATGCTTTGTATGTTGTTTAAATTCAATACATCAATGGAAGTGAAAAATCAGTTTTAGCAAATGATTTTTTAATCAGCAATTAAAATCAGCCAGAAATACCAGACAGAATCTTACTAAAAACCGTGAATTTTATGAATTTTAAAAATATGTACATTTTAGCGATAAACAGTACAGTTATTATAAGTAAAAGGAGGAGAGGAAAAAAATACACACACTTACCAGTTTTTCTTTATTTGTTACTCCTGGTTCCCCATCTAAGGAACCTTGGTTAGGATCTTAAAAAAAAAAAAAAAAAAAGAAACAAAATAATAAAGTACAATTAGTCTAGGAAAAGAAAATACTTAGAATATCTCAAGTTTAATACAAAATTGCTCCAAAGGTAATATCTTCTATTTTATTATGTTGACCCACTATGCTGGGTGGATGCTGGTAAGAGAGGCTGAACCTTCCTACCAATAATCTGCAATATTTTATTTCCTTTTTTACATGTTACAGATTGCACTTGAATAGCAGTCTGGCAAAATGGTATCAGACATGAAAGTGTGTATAGAGGCAGTATTTCACCTAATTCCTTCATGCACAGAAAATTGCAACCAGTGACATTAATTGACACTTGTTAAACATTTATGGAGAGCAAAATGTGGATACATGCAGTAAGATAGTGGGTGATACATTGCAGCAGTAGAAACTGCCTATGTTCTGCACAACTGTCAACCCTCATAGCCAATGGAATGTGACCATATGGAAGAATAGCTGAAAACTTGCTTTATCGAATGGTGCTATTGTACTCCTTGTGCATTATGGTTTCCCCAAAAATCAGAAGGCATTATTTTCAGAGCATCCTTAATAGCTATGACCAAATAGAGATCTGTTAATAAATACAACAACAGGGTCTGCAAATATAAGGCTTAAAAATCTCAAATCACTGTCTCTATGACAATAGAATACATAGTATGAAAGCTCTTACTCTAAAGAGAAGATACCAATTCTACTGAGAAGGGAGATCTGCTCTCTTAGGACAGTATAAGGCATTAAGAGTTTAACAACTGCAAACTTATTTCTAAGCTGGGCTACAATGCATTATTTTTGGGAGCAGAGGTGTCAACTTGAGGTTTTGAGCCAGAAATACATAAATTATTAACAAAATCATTTTAAATATCAAAACCATAATTCTAGGAGTCCTGATTAAACATGAATTCAGATATGACAAGTCATTAATTTTATTTTCTTATTGCTAGTTATTTTCTTGAACTCTATTTTTCTCATGATGATAGTTGATGAATCTCAATGACAATGTTATAGTGAGGTCATATTGTACGAGTGTGTATATATATATATATATATATATATATATATATATTCGTCATTCCATGTCAACTCAACAAGAACCTGACCATCACAACGCCCCACCCCCAATTTGGTACAGTTATGGATGGTATATATTACACATCTTTAAATCAAAGGGTTCCAAAGATATGACCCTTACCAAAAAGGTGACTTTTGGAAAATAGTCACAAAATTTAAATATCAATATTTCAGTTTTTTCACTTACAAAGCTCAATGATATACCATTTAAAGTACTTTAATAGATCTAAAAGGTGATCTATTTATTTATTTTTTTTTGTTTGTTTAAAAGGTCAAATAAGATTTAACCTTAACCTTTGACCTGTAATTTCTCAAAAAAGCAGATTTGTGTATTTGCTAATATAGGCTAACATTTTCATATCTCCCAATATGGTATATAACAGCCTGAAGTTGTATATCTTTAGAAAGTTCTTTGAATCTTGATTAATATTCACATAAAAACTATGATCATAAAATCAATACAATTGGTGCTATTTGTGGTTAAATGTTGACAAATTCAGTAGCAAATAAACAATCTTATTTTTGATTTTGCTTACATTATTATTATATAACAAATAGATTTTTATATAAATAAGTGGCATATAATGAAAATAATTATTTAAAAAATTGTCATGAATTCATGTTAAGATAACATGAAATATGAAAATATGCAACAAATGTTAATGGCTAACAAATTTTTATTTGACATGGCACACTAAATGCACAAAACAAACATTTTTTTTATATACATTTAAAAAAATAAGTTTTGATCTGAAAAGTGATACATTGAAATCAATATTTAAAAAAAGATTCTTAACATTTACAAGATTAACAAGCAAACCAGTTGTCAAATAAAATTTACAGTATAGTATAAACCAAGTTTTCTGAAAGTACTTTAAAAAAAAAAAAATAAATAAATAAATAAAAGGATATCTAGAGAAGATTAATATATTTTATTCTCCAATATTCCTGACAGGTAACTTACTAGTTAAAAATAAATAAATATTGGTTGTTAAATTTAAAATTACTAATCTGAAAATAACAGTAATTAAATACTGTCAACCAGTATACATCTGAGATACTAACTAAAAGCAAATTTGTCTATTTTTTCAAGCAGTTTTTTTTTTGGTTGCTAACATTTAGTGTCCATCTCCTTCAAAGTCGTCCTAATACACTTGTCTACAGACTAGAAAGCGGTCACATAAAAAAAAAAAGAAAAAAGAAATGGTATAAGTCTATATAACATCCAGTTTGTATCATTTAATTTCCTCAGACTTTTGGATAGAAATTTGTCTCTTCAATTTGTATTTATCATACAGAAGGGGAAGCAACCTTTTCATTCATAAATACTAACAGGTTTTATACAACAAATGGAATATGATTAGCCTCCAAACACATTTTCTCTTTAAAATTCATTTTATGACCGAGTTGGAATCAGTTCTTTGACTGAAAATATTAAATTTAAATGTTGTCATAATCTATATAATACTAAAAGTCCTCTAAATGGCTAAAATGGGGCATTGGAGACAGAGGTATTGAATTAAAGTACCCCTAAAATGAACTAAAAGAATGGAAATAAAGTGAGAGAAAAAGAAATGAACAATTTAAAACTGAACGATTATCATATGTATCATTACTCAATAAATAAAATCATAATAAAATCAAGGGAGATAACCAAAATACTATATTTTTACCCTCAGTTTTCTCTAAAAAGGTTGACTCGGTGAATTACAGGGCTGTCATATAGGAATATAACTGATTGCAGACTTGTTAGCAAAGATAAATAAATCTGATAGGTTATGTTGTCCAGATATTTCATTATACTGCATATGACAACGTATTTTACAAACAGCTGTTCACCAATAAGTTGGATAAACATTAAGGTTTATAAAGTTTCAAGAAATGAAAATTGAAATAAAAATGACTAGATTAACAAATTTAATTTTTAAAATAATTATCAACATTGCTTCTTTCAAATACAAACTATGAAGTCATTGCCATGATAGACAAAATTGAATACTATTAAACTAATTACAAGTCTAAACACAATATGACTATATTTATCAGTTACGCAGCCTGATCACCCTGTACTTATTACATATGCTATGGTTATAACAACAAAAGACATTACTTGACATCAATATACAAACAGTCCTTTGTCACCAGAAGAGAATGTCAATAATAAGTAGAGGAGATTAGGTTGCTAATATATTTTTAAAATTTATTTTGTGTTAGGTTACATTAGATATTTTATTTTTACTTTTAAGGATAAAAAAGAAAAAAACAAACTTTCATACAGGCAACAATAGTGTTAGTTGTATAGATAAAAATTCTAGATTATTCACAGAAAAAATATAAACAATGCAAATTGACTCATTTTTTCAGGTGATAGGTAAAGAAGCATATGAATATTAAACAATATTAGTCGTAAGTTTTATTTCTCTTAATACATATTGAATCAAAAATAATATTCAATAGTGAGTGTTAATTCCGAGTTTCATAATTTTTCCCCTTGTCAGGACTTTCAATAAGAATGATTGATTGTATCGATTACAGAATGTCTATTTTATAAATGCTGGTTTATATATGCTAAACTTTTTGTACACTTAAAACTGTTAATCTCATGAGTTCTAAAAAAGTCAAATAATCATTTTTTTTTTTTTTTTTTAAAGTAAAGATATTTTGTTAAATGATCAAATTACATCTGCTGACAACTACACAGAATTCTTTATGAAACTTCCAAGATAACTTACTACCTTCCAGGACACATGACTTTGTGGATTAGGATCTAATTACCTGGCAGTTGTGAATTCAATCCAGGGAGGGAGGAGCGAGTGAGAGAGAAAGTGAATGACAATTCTAAGAATAAGGTGACTGATATGAGGTTTCCACTAGTATGGATACAGAAATCCAAACACTAACCACCAAGAGTAAATAGTGTCAATGTGTAGATGCCTACTTGGGAACTGATGACATCAGGAGGGTCATTGATGAAGAGAAGGAACAGTGTAGAGCCCAAGATACGGCCTTGACGAACATCAATGTTCATTATATATATATATATGCTCAGTAATTCGCAGAAAAAACAGCATAGCATGACGAAAAAAAAAACAAAAAAAACAACCCAAACTTAATAAAAAGCAGTTTTATTGGGGGTGGGAGATGATGCTATTAATAAGAGGAAAGACCAAAGTATTTTAAAAAAATTTTTTATATTCCATGTTTGAAATTTTGGTTGAAAAATCTTCGTTTTTTTTTTTTGCACATCAGTGGTCGCGTAATATTTAGCATTAGTTTTTTTTTTAGTGCTTTTTTCAGTTGAAAAACATTCATTTGGAAATTCTTGCAAAAATCAAATTGTCAGATTTTAATAAAACTTTTAGAATTTATTAAAAAATGAATGAAATTATTTCATGGTATTTTTTTTTCTTTTTACATCTGTTACCGCCACCCAATTTTAAGAAAACTCAAATATGTATACTTAATTTTTTCATTAAATGCAAAAGACTTTGAAAAATATAAATTATCGCTTTTTTTTGCAAATCAAGGTGCGTTTCTAAACCCAAACTTTAGCTCAATAAAACTCAAACATTTGATTAAGAAAGCTTTTCATGGCTTTTAAGAATATATATTAAAGACATTATTGTCTGAAGCCAAAATATTTTTTCAATGAAAAATGAATTTTTACAAGAATTGTTTTCTTTTTTCAATTTTAAATACAAAATGTGATAAGGTTTTATATTTTAAAATTGAGTTTTAATATGTGCATCTCTGGAAATGCTCTTATCTATTTTTACAGATCTTAAATCTGAAGAGCATTTCTTTAAAAAATGTTTTTAATATGCCAAAACAATGTCCCGCTTTTAAGAATTGTTTCTCCTGATAGCAACGATTTAGCCTCAAATTATTTTTTCATTCTGGCTTGTACATA